TATATATATATATATATATATATATATATATATATATATATATAGCAGGGGCAGGCAATTATTTGGGGCAGAGGGCCATTTACTGAGCTTTGGTAAGCCATCGAGGGCCACGTGACAGGTAGCCAGGGGCAGATAACTATTAATTTTCTAAAATTTTTAGGGGCCCTGTGGGCTGGATAGAATGGCTTGGCAGGTCGCATGCAGCCACATTTTGCCCATCCCTGATATACAGACATATTTTTACCAAAAAAAAATACCGTGTATCTGAGTCCATGAAGGCAGTTTTCCACAAGTGTCCCCAGGGATAACTGTTCTTCTGGTGTGGTTTAGTACCTGCTGTGGTGCTGGGGCGTAAAGCCCACTTTATGGAAATTGGAATTTCCTCCCTAGTTTGCATCTGCAGCCGTATGACTGAGGGCAGGTGAAACTTGGGAGCATTCAGCCTTGGGCCTGCACATAGGATGCCTGCCAAAAGACTTTGGAAATATCTGAAGCCCCTGGTAGGGGACTTCTTATGGATTTGGACTTGATTTGGCTGATTTGGCTTGGAACACAAAAAAATTATTTTTAAAAAAAATCTCTAATTAGTAGAGGGGTCTCTAATTGCTTCTTGGCCTCTTATTGGCTCGGATCAAGTGTAGTCTATGCTTATCTGGCAAAAGAAACACTGTGACCATGGAGGTGGTCTTCCTAGCTGCATTGGGGAAGACCGCTCTCCTGGCACGGGTATAGTACCTGCCAAGGTAATATATAGTAAACCTCCTACTTAGCTGCTGGAGTGGAATGGTCTTGGCTTTAAGACTTCTTTATGGAAATGGGAGACTTCTCCCTGGCTTGCCCCTGACAGCTGAAGGCAAGAAAAATCAGGGGCATCTGAACCTCAAGCCTCTGGGCTTGGGCCTGCAAGTAGGATGCCCGCCAAAAGTTTTAGAAACATCTGAAGCCCCAGATGGGGGTGGAGGATGCTTGCCTGTAGTAGGGTCACTTATGGTTCTAGACTGACTCTCAGATTTGAAATTTCTTTTGGCTAATTTAGCTTGGAATATGGAAAAAATTTTAAAAAGTATCTAATTGGCAGAGGCTCCTGGGCCAGGGCCCCACTGGCCCATTTGTTAATTTGCCTATGTGCTAGCACGATGACCTTCCTATGTAGGTCATATTTTGGTTTGGACAGGGGGATAGACAGTAATAAAGCAGTACTGAAAGCTCTCAATCTCAACCCTAGTGTCAGCTACAAAGGACCAATTCATGGGATCGTGTCAATTCTAGTTTATTGGACGGGATGTGAAGTTACTAATAAAATCATAAATGCAAACTTTGAGTTATGGGTGGTACTGGTCACCTTACCATGTTGTCTGCTTGTCCTTCTGTCTTGGTAGGTCAGGTGATGGATGAGAGGGTGCCACTGAGGGTCACGCTTCACTGCCTTTTATCCCTTTCTGGCAGACTTGTGTGATCTCTCAGCATCATCCTGGCTACCCAATCCGGAGGTCTCTACCCTACGTGGGTCTTGAATAATACATGACAGTTGTTAGTCACAGGGGTCTCTGCCTGCTGGTACCTGAAGTTTTGGGAGTCCACCCTTGACTTACTGACTTAATGGCTGTATTGTCATGGGTTACAAGAATAGTCCATACGGTGAGTGCTCAGTTCCAAGAATCAGTTCTTTAGCTTGGTTAGCTTAAAATGGAGTTCCTTTGGTTAAGCTATTGTCTACTGATGATCATTATTCGCTCGCATTCACTCAAGGGACCACCCAATGTAACAGATTTTATCACTTTACAATTACAGTTTCAATGCAGTTCTAACAGTGGTCCAGGTTGTAACTTCATTCTACAGGGAGTACATTCCTTAAGAGTTTAAAAGTATAAAATACAAAATGCGATGGTAAAGATGAGACAGAGGAAATATAAAGATGCACTATGAGAAATATATAAAAATGCAATGTGAGATAGTGAGGATCAAAGACTACTGGGGACAGTAAATGAGTTAGGTTAGCACAGGATATATTTACAGTCTTTGCAGTGGATATTTTAGTTCTTCTGTTTTCTTCAGTGACGCTGAGCTTAATTGATATATATATGTAGTTTCTAGGTTTCTTCTACAGAAAGCCACTTAAGCTTTCTGGCTTGCTCTGAGCCTTGCCACACCAATGCAATGACTGGGGGACTGCAGGCAAGAAGGGGCTTCTGTTATATCCATGTCCAAAAGGGAAATGTACAAAGGGGACTATCTGCTACACTAGTAGTTGTGCCACCTTTTGCATAATAGTCTATTGGTTAAAGTGTGCAATAGGGAACTGGAAGACAGCTTCAGCAGTAGGAGACACAACAGTGTAACGAACAGGGAGCAACTGGCGCACCAGTTTATGGGACCAAAGCACCTAACAACTTTGACAAAAACAAAGGGAGGAAAGAGGAAGCAAAAGGAGCCAGATAGCAGCTTTGCTTCCTTCTGCCCTGTTGAGCAAAACAATCAAGTTCCTCTCCCTCCCCTCTATTTCTGCAACACAAGGCATGAGAAGCTAAAACACTACTGGGGTTGCATCTCCCCAGACCTAAAATAAGATGGGCAAGAAAACCCTGAATTTTCTCCTATGCCCCTTTCAAGCTAAAATTAGCTGGGTTCAGGCAGCTGCACTTACTACAGAAACAAATGCAGCTGCCCAGCTTCCAGAGCAGAAGGTAGCTTGCTTGGTACAGCATGAGGTGTTTCCCAGCAACAGACACTTTATTCTGGACTAGTCTGGACTGTTATTCTAGACCTCCATTGTTCCAGACCAGCTGTTCTCAGCCAGGGAGTCTTGGTACCTTGGGATGCTTTGAGATCCTTTTAAGGGTGTTGCGGGGTGCCACACAACAGGATTCATGGGATAAACCTGAAGACTTCACATGGGAATCCTTAGTGTTAAAACCATTCAGCCTGTGGGCTTTGCCACAGAAGAATGGCTTTGCTATTTTTCTCTTGAAAAAACAAACAAACAAATAAATAAATACAATTGAAAACTATTAGGGGGCATTTCCTGAGGGGGTGCCTCCACGCTAAACCAGGGTCCCAGTCCCCTTTGCAAAGGCCATGTCACACGATCACAATAAATCTGGATAGAAACCAGGTACAGAGTTGTCACACACTTTCGAACACTCATTTTGTAGCCACTGGTTGGCTCTTTTTATAGCAGGAAGGACATTTTTTACAGTGAGATAGTCACTTTGCACCTGTGGACCCTTTTACAAGTTCACATTACAGCTGATGAGAAACAATGCTCCCTCTAAGGTGTAGCGATCTGTGAGCGTGCCACTTTGGTACGTGAGCGCGCTGCTTCAGTCCCACCTCCCCCTTTTGGCGTGCGCTGCTTCGGAAACCACAGGTACCTGAGGGGCACCCTGCATAGAGCCCTATAAGGGTCAGGGACCCTGAGACTGTAGTGGAGGGTCACCAGCCTTGTCTGGGGTCAGGGACTCCAGGGGACTGGGATGGATGGAGAGGAGCTTTGCCTAGGCCAGAGACCCCAGGGGACTGGGATGACATGTGGAACAGGGCCAGGGGCTGGGGAGCACATTGGGAGGTGAAACCTTGAACTCAAAATATCCCAGAACTCCAGGCTGCAAGAATAAGCATTAGAGTTAGCTAAGCTATTACAAAGTAATGTATTTATGGGGAACTACAGTTATTTCACACTGACGAGCTATCAGTCATGTAAGATTCTTTCAAGAGCTGTTACAGAAGTCAGTAGGAGTCTGCACACAAAGAAGGGAACCCCAAGTCCTATCTCAGGGGTGGGCAAAATACGGCTCAGAGGTCAAATCCAACCTTCCAGGCAAATGAATCCAGCCCACAGGCAGGCGCCAATTAATTGCATCTGGCCTGCCCTGCAGCTGGCCCTGCTACGTTCCACATGGGGCCAAGCCCAGCACATTCCCCCCAGGACAGTGTGATACGCTGCCACACTTGCCAGCAGGAGGGCCCCAGCCCCAGTCAGTGTGCACAGCTTCCAGGTAGGGCAGCTACCGCTGCTGCAGGCTGCAGCCGGAGCCTGCATCAGCCCCAGCCCCCACCTTGGGGAGCAAGGAGGCACATCACATGGGGGCTGGGGAGCAGAGCAGTTCCCCAGCACCAACCCCCAGCCCC